TTGTTTTTTTTATATAAAATCGGTATTTTTATAAATTGGCAATTTATTTTTGCTTTGGTTGTTTCGTTTTCTTGTTTCTATGGTGCTTTTCAGTTTTCACACCATTATTTAGCTTATTTTAGTCGGTTTTCCTGACCTAAAACTGCTTTTTAACTGCAGTTTTCGAGGCAGTTTTTAGCCAATTTAATTCCATACATGTTAGAAAATTTTGTTTTTTTTATTTTCTATTTAATAAAATCACTTTGATGTTTGCCTTATAAACTTAAACTGTCCATTTTAATGAGTTATTCATGTGTGTGAAACTCTTGTCGATAGGGGCAATAGAGATATTTTGAAAGATTGAGTGACTTTGTGTTTTGTTTTGTCACTCCTTGTCATTTTACAAAAACAGCAATCCCGCGCTATTTTGCTTTCTTTCCACTAAAATATTACACCTTCTAAATAAATAATAATTAATATTTAAAACTGAACCCAAACAAAACACCAGAATTCAACTTTTCATTCAAATTTCGTATGTTTTTCACCAAATTTTTGCTCGGAAAATAAAGAAAAATATAAAAGTTTTGTTGACCGCGCACGTAGTAAGGGGACTGAGAATGACGCGCAAGAATGCCTTCAAATTCCGCCATGTTGGCTTCACTTTTTGAGCTCGAGTCAGACTTCCATGTTATATAGTTCAGTGTTGGCATCACGTTTCTCCCGCATGTTATCATTCCAGATAAAAGACATGGAGTTCACTGATTCAGCCTGACCTACTGCCGAGGCTGCCATACACAGAGTTGCCACCTGCTCTCCATGTCCTACTCTGGACAAGTAAATTGCCATTGAAAATTCTGGTGACTTTCCTGCCTGATATGTGGGGTTGAATGGATATTGTTGAAGGAATTCCAACCACAGTTTAAATCAAGGCTGTCGTTAATCCATGTCAGAGCCCGGTGATCGGTGATTAGGTCGAAACGCTTTCCAGTAGGGTAAACAAGGAATCTCTTTACTGCTGTGGTGCTATAATTCCTTTCACTAGAGGAAAGAGTGTGATGAAAGAATGCCACTGGATTTAATGGGTCATCTGGTTTAAACCGATTCGGCTGAGCTAACATGGCACCCTACCCACTATTGAAGCATCTGTCACCAATACAAAATGCCTGGTGAAATCCGGAAGGTAGAGTGCTTGAGGTCTCGCGACCTGTTTCTTAAGGCGTTCAAATGCTGCTGTTGTCTCAGGTGTCCATTTAAGTCATTTCTTACCATCTTTGTCTAAAGATCATATAACGGTTTTGCAATGTCCTCCATCCCTGGAATCCATCGTTGAACATAGGAGAATGCTCCAAGCGCCTTCCTCAGCATTGTTACCGCTGTTGGTTTTGGGGTATTCATTAGTGCCTCTCTCCTAGCATCATTGATGGACAACATTCCTTCACCGACAACGTGACCAAGGAATTCAATGCGAAATCTCAGGACTCAGGAGCATTCCCACCTCTTGTAATCTCTGGAGTACTAGCCGGAGACGTTGCATGTGCTCTGTCCATGATGTTGTTCCCCAAACAAGTATATCGTCTAGGTAGCAGAGTGCAACCTGCCAGTTCAGAGAACCAGGGACGCCACTCATCAGCTGCTGAAAGAAGGCTGGTGCTCTTGATAACCCAAACGGGGTATCTCTACCAGTCCACTGGGGTGACAAATCCTGTGAGATCCGAATCTTCTTCTTTAAGTGGCAATTGATAGTAGCCAATCTTTAAGTCTAAAGATGAGAAATATTTAGCTTTCCCAAACCTGTCAATTAGTAAGTAAGTCATCAATACGTGGTATGGGATGATGCTGATCAAAAGACTGAGCATTCAGAGCCCGATAGTCAATTGCTAGCCTGGTCTGGTCATTCTTTCTTCGTGCCATTACAATTGGTGCAGCCCAGGGGCTCGTTGACTGCTGTGATCAGGCCTTGATCAACGAGATGCGTTATCTCCTTGTTCACTTCTTCTCGTTCTTTTGGGGATAACCGTCTCGGTCTCATACCAAACTGGTCTTGCATCTGGTTTGAGTCTAATACAATGCTTCCACAAACCCTGGACAGATGGAAGACGATCACCAGGTTTCCAAAACACATCAGAAAATTCTGTCAGAAGTTTGCCAACCTCTTCCTGTTTTTTTTTAGAATCAAGTCTTCATCTCCTTTATACCCAGTAACTCGACCAGATGGTTTGGTTTTCATGTGTTGACCTGGAAAAGTGGTTTCAAACTCTGGGTCTAATTGGGCAATCTTTTCTCCCTTTCGAAGAGTTTCACTAATTTTGTTGACTCGGAACCATAGTTCTCTATTCATATCTACCCTAACAATACAACATGCAGGGCGAATAGGTTCATCCCCTGGGGAGGTGTTTGGTGCTGCCATATAGTCCAGACCTCTAAATGCCTTGTCTGCCACACATTTAACTAAACATTCTTTACCAGGTTCCACAATAACATCTTCCCTGACTAGTACATCACAAGCTACGCTCCGGTTTATTCCACTTTCTGGACGGTACATGGTCTCACGTTTCGTACTCCGCCCTGTCTCATGGCCACAGGTTTATCATTTTTATTAATGTCAAGTGTATACCCTCTTGAAATAAAGTCTCTAATCTAATCTAAATCCCATAGAGAAAGAAGACAAGAATCAAAAGCGTAACACCAAAATCTACAATACACAACACCATGAAGTGCGGAGGTGTGTTTATTGTGGCGAGCCTTCACGCAAGGGAATTCAGTGTCAGCGGTTTGCATCACCAAGAGAAAGGAAGAAGATTTTAGAAGTTGATCTAATCAAAATTAATAATAAGGGAACACTGCTCGAAGTAGAGAACCCACTTGCGTGGTTTATCACCAGGCGAAGAATCGGTAACTAACTACTCGCGTGCTTCCAACCGAAACCAACCATGTTGAATATGATGAGTTATGCCGACTTGACGTTTTGGGGCTAGCTGATTCACCACAAGAAGACCAGAAGGAAGTGTATGCTGAGTTCCGATAGCAACTGACCCGTAATGAGGCCGGTTGGTACGAAAGAGGACTACCCTGGAGGGGTAACCACCCTCCCTTACCAACTAACGAACAGGGTAGTTTGTGCCGGTTGCGAAACCTGAAACGCAAGTTGCAAAAATCGGAATGCGTGGTAGAACCAGCAATGATCAAGCGAAGGGAGTGGAATTCTACATACCGCATAAGCCCGTTGTGAAAGAAAATGCAGAGACAACCAAGCTCCGCAAAGTGTACGATGCCAGTGCGAAAGCCTATGCAGATACTGTCTCATTTTATGACTGTCTGAATCCTGGTCCTGTGCTGCAAAACAACATGTGGAACATTCTGGTCAGATCGAGAGCTCGCCCTGTAGTAGTCAATGGAGACCTAAAGAAAGCATTCTTGCAAGTGCGAGTGAAAGAGGAAGACCATGATGCCTTGAGGGTACACTGGGAATCTCGTATGCCAGAGGCTGTTGCAGAGTTACGCAAGAGTCTTTACGTAGACGACCTCTTGAGTGGTGGAGCTACAGTGGAAGAAGCCCTCGGGCTGGTTTCCTCCTTACCTTGCAAGGAAAACTGTTGTACAGAGCCATTTGTGACCAGAAGTTTGCCGACCGAATTGAAACGTGCATGGAAGAAGTGGGAACGAATGCTCTGAATAGTTTCCCTGTTGCAGATATTTGTGGGTGGACGGACAGTTTGGTGGTCCTTCACTGGATCAGAGGTGGAGGTCAGTACAGTTTGTCGGGAATCGTGTCAGGAAGATTCAAGCAAAACCGGAGATCAAATGGAGACACATCCTTACGGAGGAAATCCTAGCAGATCTGGCGAGCAGGGGTGGCGATGTTCAACACAAGGAGCTGTGGTGGAATGGTCCTGAACGGATGGCCAACCCCTAGAATTGGTCACAAGATATTGTAAGTCAGTCATCTGCAGAGAGCCAAGCAGAAACCAGCACCGACCAGCTAGACCTTATCCTTGAGAAGTACGAACTGACTAAAGCAATAAAAATCATGGCATGAATACCGAGATTCATTTACAACTGCCAACATCCCAGCGACGTCATCCCAGGTTCACTGACAACCGATGAACTAATGACACTGCATGGTTTTTGGATCAAACGAGCGCAACAAAGCAGCGACAATGAGCAAGATCGTTTACGACTTAACCTTCAACCATATGAACAGGGGATTCTTCGGTGTCGAGGTGGAAACCCAAGAGTTTCTGCTAAGCCTAAAGAGATTCATTGCGAGAAAAGGACGACCACAAAAGATATATATTCTGACAATTCATGCTTTTACTGTCACTTGAAATTTTAAGCGGGCGAAGGAGCAAAAACAATACAAAATTTTCATACAATTGTGATGCTAAAGTTGCGGAGAAACTGTTTAAAATGCTGGAAATAAAAAACAGTGATACACAGACTATTTTGCTAACGTTTATCAGCACCTGGGTTGCTGGATTTGCCATGAAAAGACATTAAATCGTAGGTTTCGTCGTGTTACTCAGGTATAATTCAACTGCAATTTTTCCCGAGGCAGAACGCGTCATTTGGATGCGCAGTAGAGACTCTGAATTAGCCTCATACACTTAACCCAAGATAGCTTCACAATCTCGGTTTTGTTTAGTTTGGTTAGTACATTTCCCCATAGACAATCTATGATTTCCCAAATAACCCTTAGAAGTGCTCACGTCACGCAATTTTCAATCCATCAAAACATTAGGTATACGCAATGCCGTGTGGGATACATGTGGGTCAAATATTCATTGTCTGATAGTGACAATGTCTCTTAGGTCAATTGTGTTATTTGACTACAGTCTATAAATTTCGATAAATTTAGCAACTATATTATTAACTTTTTCAAAGAAAATTCTCAGCAATTTTACTAACATTGAGCTGCTCTTAATTTCATTTTGTGGTTCAATTTGACAAATGAGGTCACGTGATAAATCCATGCAAAAGACCTATATTAATAGTTTTCAAATAAAAAAGTATTTTGATACAACAAACCTTATTAAAACATCAGCATCGATGCTAAGCAAATATTTAACAACATGTGTTTGACCATGTTCCGCTGCATGGAATAACGCAGTCTGACCACGTCTATCTATACGATTAATCCTCGCATTGTTCTGTAAAAATAGCAGACATTTTCATGAGCAAAAAATATTGAAGGCACAGTGTCACCTCCAGAGTGATGTGATTTAGTCGGCACGAAACTTAAAAAAGTTCTCTGTGCAAAAAGAGTGGAGAAATTATATTATATAATAAAAGTCGGCATAATTAACATCGAATCTTCAATTTACATAAATGTATTAAAATATCAGATAAATGTATTTACTAGCCTCCTCCGTAGGGCATCTCACCCGAGGAATCGGGTGGTCGGAAAATCCATTCGTAGGCTAAAACCATAGAGGCTAAAACCCATAGAGAGGCCTGCGGAGTAAGCTATGTATTTACAATATCAGATTACATTATTGTCATTTTGTTTGCGATGACATAAAATCACATCACTTAGCAGGTGACGCTAGGGTTAGGGTTGTCATGATCAGAAATTGCGGTCACAAATTGAGAGCTAAGATGAGCTAGCTCATTTTAACTGAACATGCGTAGAATGTACATGCTGACGTGTACTGAATATTAATGAGGCATTAAAACTGCTAAATTATTTCAAGATTTTGTCCGCAAAGTTTTTGATTAATTGGTAGAATTTCGAGATTAAGAAAAAGACCCAAGAAAAATATTAGGTTATACTCGAGCATAATCAAGAACTATTTAAACTTACAATTTGAGCCTTTTTTCGCCACAAATAAGTCGAAATGAAGCAAAACAAAAAGCGCAGGAAATTTCTTGACTGAGTCCAAAATCTCATGCAATGAACGCTCAGCGACATGACCATTTTTCGACATGATCAAGTTTCGTGAGGGGCGAGAAACGACGTGCCTGGGTCAACACCGTAGGCTACTTTACGACGAGATCTCAGGAGTATCGTCAACAAGGTTGTCATTCTGAACACAACGTTAAATTAAGATTGATTTTGACGTCTTTCGAGCCACGCGAAAGCTTGTTGGGACGTTAGAGCCTAGAGGTGTTGCATAAAGTCTGCCTTGTAAAGCAGTCACCGCACCGTTCACGAATTTAGCTGTTTGTAATGTTATTTTAAAAAGCTTCAAGTATTCATTACTGTAATCCTTAGCCCTCATTCTTGAGATACAAATGAGACCGCGTCGTCGAGTTTGCCAAGTCGTCTTTTCTAAATCTGCCTGATAATAATGGGAGAGTTTGAGCGACAAAGACGCGCTTAATAAGAACTATTGCCCGTCTGCGCATTATATTGCGCATACTGAGTTTGGGGTGAGCGGTGGTTGTTCAATGAAGACAGGTTGTAGATTCATGTCATAGCTGTTTATGAATGCTGACCCTAATCCTTACCTTGCCCTGCACAAAAACAGCGAAACATGAATCTATATCCCATCTTCGTTCTTCTGCCTTCGTTCAGAACGGATATTTTGGCAAAATTCGTCGTGAACTTCTGAACGAAGGCAGAAGAAGAAGGACGGCTATAGTTTTATATCTCGCTGTTTTGTCTGGATCAGGATTATGGGCAGTATTCATAAACATCGAGACATGAATCTGCAACGGGAACCACCTTGGAACCCGCACCAGTGACCCCAAACTCAGTATGCGCAAGATAATGCGCAGACGGGCAAAAATTGTCAGGTACATCTTCGTCTTCGTTGTCTTGCTCATTATCATTATCACTTCTGAGAAAAATTCCCATACTATGGAAGTGTTTCGAATTTCCCAGTCTTAACCGTTGTTTTGGTTTGTGTATTTCAACATGTCCGCTTATTTAAATACATATACGAAAATGTTCTATATCAGGTTTATACCGGTAAGCAAGTTGTTGCCATGCACTTGCCAGTTTGGCAAGTTTGCTTTGCGGTATTCTGTAAAGCCATGGGATTAAGCTAACCAGTTTTCGAACGACTGTATAAAAGAGCATTATAGCCACTGACATACATAGATCGAATGTATATACCAGTTTTCTAAGTGCAGTCCGTAAGTCACATTGGATATAAAACACCGAGATCCTAATAAGTCGGGACCAACGCTCAGTTCAGAAGGTAGTTTAGTCATGGCAGAAGCTCAGTATCGAAATGTGCAAATGCGAAGTTGTCTTGCCTAGTTAAGTTGGTAATTTCAATGACGACGAGCAAGGGGCTCAAGACCAAGTACCAGCTGAAGGCCCTAGCATCAACATGGCGGTCAGGCACAGCCGGTTGAGGTATGTTTTGTATGGGAAATTCTTAATTTCTCTGTGTGGTAATTTATCGATCTGCTACAAAATCTACACGGTCAAGGCCAAAACAATTTGGGATTTTCCGCCCCAGCTTGTTAGTAATTACGAAGGGCATGTGTAGTACAACACTGAATAGACTTTACTGCAGTTTATTGCACTTTTGCCGCAATGGCCGCGTTTTCACATTTGCCTGTTTTATTATGGCAAGGTTACTTATGTCCACA